TCACTGAGATTTTGTTTGACGTTCTGAATGACTATTGTAGTGACAGAAGCAACCTTGACGTCCAAATAGGGCTGATTCGAGTCTAACTGTGACAAGTATCATTTACTAATAGTGTTCTAGTAGTATTGCTTCCTAGCTACACAAATCTTGAAGCTGAACATTTAATTATTGAGAAGATTGGCATTCAACATGTAACAATTGGAGGAGGTCGGTAATGGTGAACTCAGGAACAATTCATCGAAATAGCATGGCTCGGTTATGTGAACGTGGTTACTCTGAATATCTTATTGTTTTTTGTGTTGAATATATTGATCGATTCTCAGCTCAAATGTGTTCTTCAGAAATGCTAGACTTCATACTGCCGATTGTCACAATGGAACGAGTCAGCGTTGAGAATGATGTGACTTCCACATAAGATCTTGTAAACTAGGTCGTCACATCATGATATATGTACAATTTTGAGATTAGGTCTATCATCATAGTAGTGCTAATGCTGAAGCAGATCACAATTCTACAGTGTTATGTGGCAAAAAGGATGCTTGTCAGAACAGTACCATTAACATCAATACAGTTGGCTGTACAAGAGTTTTGGAAATTTGGCACTACTGATGCAATATTTGCCAAAGAAACATGATTATCAATAGTTGTAGCACTCGTTCTAGTGGCAGAAGCCGGTATAAGAGTTAAGGGAATGTACATTCTCTTCCCACACCAAACGCGTTCTTCAGAAGTCACAAACTTCATATTATTGATGCATGATAGGGGAGCCTTTAAACAGTGTTGTGACGCTTGCAGAGCCAGGTTTCTGAGGTATGTTTGAAGCTCCGGGTCCCTGTTCCAAGCGTGAAGCGACTATACTAGAGTGAACCCAACGGCCTGGGTAAAAGTTCTTGGAAAGCCACGCTGCTCTGACTTATGAAGAGAAACTGCAACTCGTCAACCTATTCTTGTTATCCTTGAGGTCTGGGGTTAACTTTCTCACATCAAGAGGTGAATCCCTGAAATTATCTACTATGATAAGTAATATTGGCACCTTCAGTTGATATATTTTATGTCATATACTAATGCACACATTGTTTATCTTGGATTTCAGACAGACTTTAGTAACTCACAAAACGTGTTAATGTCGAATCCTTTTCAACTTTCTAATAACTATCCTGTTTATTGTAATCTTAGTGAAGATACCACAGATATTCGGAGTTTGATAACGCTTTAACCAGTAACACTTACTATGAATCGTACCCACCAAGTGAAATCGAAAGACAGAAGCGAGGAGGTTCGAAGATATATTTGATACTCTATCAAAATATCGAGGATCGTCTGATCTAGACTGACTAGCGATTGCAGGGGATGTTGAACACGGCGTTCCTACTGGTGATCTGGTGCGGATACATGACCGAGCGCCTTCAGCTAGGTGAGCCCATTCAGAGTAATGTAGTCAGCATCCAATACTGAACAATTACAGAGCTATTTATTTTGGGGATTTATTTACCGCTACAATAGGTTTTAGTCGTCTCGTATGTGTCTGTATATGTCCACGCTTGTATTATATTGTCCAGTACCTGTTCATTTTTCACAGTATTCATTCTCCATTTGAGCCATATCAAAGCCTGTAATGAGTAATACTTTGAGTTGACAGGTTCGTCTTCTACGACCCGCTTCTCACATTTCTGCCTGTTTGAGTAACGTAGTGCCTGAAATGGATTCATTCAGTTTGAGTTTGCAAAGGACAGTAGGCTAGATGGTCTGTGTTAGTCCTGGCAATGGTGGTCTCTCAGTTGATCCAACTTTCTTTTGAAAGAGTCGACGAATGGAGCCTCAACCACGTGCTGAGGTAATGAATTCTACTCGTTGATGATTTGACAGGAAAGTCGATAGTCAAATGACAATTAATTTGTTCTGGACTTGTGAACTGTTCTGGAGTGTCCTTGTAAATTACCTGTTTTGGAAGACAAGAAAAATGAGGCAATATCAGGTGCAAATTTATCACTAAGCAATTTGAAAACCGTAATCAAATCACCTTCAGTTCTTCGATATGACAGCAGTAATAGGTTTAGCTTGGTCAGTCGAGCGTCATAAGGGAACTTCTCTACCCCGGGAATCAGCTTGGTTGCTGTTCTCTGAAACTTTTCCAAAAGTTCATTGTCTTTTTTTAAGCAGGGGCTAGCTGTTTGTATGCAGTACTCAAGTTTAAGACGTACGAACACTGTATACAAAGTCAAACGCGTATTAGCGTCGACATGACTAAAAGCCCTATGTATGCCTATCCGCAACTATGCCTATCCGCAACTGTGATACGTTTACCAGATTCAAAAAGCTAATAACCCTATTTCTAGACTCCAAAGAGCTTCAACATTACCTTGAACTCCCGCCCACCGATGAGGCACTTTATTACGGACCGCCTAGTATCTAGAAAGAATAGAATTATAACAAGTTCGACTGTTACTAATCTGAATATAACCAAATCACAGGATATATGGATTATCCTTTCCTATTATTCATTGTTTATTAATCATGATTTCATGCTCCTAACACTAGCTTTCAGTCCCCAAATCTCTACAGGTTAAATGTACATTATTCTTCCTAAAAGTCATGCTTTTTTTTTCTACTGCAAGTAGACAGATAGCTCAATCTTATGGATGCTGATCTACTAACGCCGATCATTCAAAGCTCAAAATTTGGCCACAAAGTCTTGTGAGTTTCTCAATGTTTTATTTTTCTCACCCTAAAATCGTTTTCTTTTTTTCTACAATTTTATACCCTCTCATATCTTTTGATTTGCTATTAATCCTTACTTCTTTAAACCATTAGTTATTTTCATAACAGTGTGATATACTATATGGACATCTAACCCATAAAACAGAATTTTTAAATATCTGATTTGCTTGTAACATGGACCTAGTAGAGACAGTGTATTCCAACTATGTGCTTTGATTAAAGCATTAATCATACTTACCACAAACGTAAGAGAGCCTAACATCACAAAAGGAGGGAGGGTGGCGTTACTGACCAGCAAACATGAAGGTGGGGAGATAACTTCAATCCACCCATGTCTGTAGGGCAGAACATTTTGTTTAATTATGGCTCCTTATGGTTTAGTGGGATGTCACGGACTTAAGGTATTGAAGCTGATCTATCACGCAAAATACCTCTTTAAATCGTGTTACGAACGTTGAATTGGTTTCACTTCCTACTCAGAAATCCTATTACAAGCAAACTAGACAATTCGCTAATATACGAAGCCTACTCAAGACCCTATAAAACCTGAAAAAAAAACAAATAAAAAAAAAGAAAGGGGCTCTAATAGCTTCGATAATAAAAAGAAGATAGCCAGTTGTATATCACAATACTGTTTCTAGCACTATATTTTATTTTATAATCACACATAATCTTATACTCTCAGCTCTTTTCCGAATCGCCTCCATTTGTCAGTTGTATGTCCACTCACACCTTGCTAAAGCTTATTTTCTTTAACCTATTAAAATGCTCTTTCTTAACAAATACCTTAATAAAGGAAAATTAGACTGAGTAATCATACCTTAAACATTCCTACATGAATATTGGCTACTCTGCCTCTCGTGTTTTCTTTTACTTGCTCCCTCTTTCAGCCCCCTTGAGATATGGAACAGGTTACTTCATCCTGCACCATCCTTAAAGCCTTGGATATCCCAAAGGGACATAAGGTTGCGATTTCTAGAAGCTCATGCCTTTAATGGGCCTATTCTTGACCATCAGTCGCACATTCGCAACGCAACTCTCGTGAAGCGCGCCAACTATAATACTGATTAAAACTATCTACATTCATGTCTTATAAATTTTCAACCCAGCTATGTAATTTAATACAGTGTATATTGCATCATTTGTATCAATTTGATCTTGCCTGTAAACTGGCATGCCTCATGTAACAAACTGTTATTTGAGAATATATTATTATTAACCATAAAGTTCTAAAACCTTTGGTGGCTATTGCGCGGCAGTTTGCAGTCGTTAAGTCTTGGCTAACGATGAGTTCTATTCCATTATGTGTCTGCACAGCAGGTAGCTCGGAGTTATCCATCGTGTACGTATCAGTACCTTAATGACCGATATGCATCACAATACACTTGGAAGTATTAATCGGAAACTGCCAGGCTTGAGACCATTCAGATAATTTCTCCGGGTCATTTTGAAGTTCTAAGCTATCTCTCTTACTTCGTATCGCTCTCCATATCTTGACATCGTCAGCAAATAGCAAGACCGATGATGATAGGAGACAAGGAAGATCAGTTACATACAAGAGGAATAGCACTGGCCCCAAAACTGTACCCTGGGGTTCTCCGCTAAGCACATTTTCCCAGCTAGATAACTTTCAGTTCACCAGTACTCTTTGTTGGCTCCCAACTAGGAAGTCTTTGATCCACATCAATAGATCGCCTCCAATTCCGACATTTCTTAGCTTATATAACAGCCGATTGTGCAGAACTTTGTCAAATGCTTTGCTGAAATCAATCTAGGTTATGTCTACAGGTAACTTTTGGTCCTTAAAAGTGCACCAGCTTTCACGGGCGACTAATAAATTGGTGAGACAAGAACAACCTATTCTAAAACCATGCTGCTTCTCCGAAGGGATCTGGTTCTCATCTAGGTACTAAACAGCTCCTTCCAAATAATCTTTTCTGTGATTTTAACAACCACACTATTTAGGCTGACGGGTCGGTATTCTCAGGCTTATGTTTCAGACCTGTTTTGAAGACACGGCTTACTGTGGCATTCTTCCAGTCTTTTGGTAAACGACTCTGCGTTACGGATAGATTAAAGCATGTACTTAAAGGGTTCGCAACGATGTTAGGTAATTCTTTTATTAGCGTAGAAAGCAATTCATCGGGCTCCTAATTCGTATACGGCTTCTGACAACCGCCACTATCCAAACGGAGTTAGCGTAATTAAAGCATAATAAGTCAAACGGAGGACTTATATTAGTCGTTCAGTCATCAAAGTTTGATGATAGAATACTACTCACATTTCAAATTGTACGTTACGTCGAGTGCACGTGTTATGAGGCTGAACTTTAAGGTAATAGTGGTCTGTGAATCTTCTTGATTGAAAGTTCAAAAATCTTTTTGGAACAGCCTACAAGTGTGGATCCATTGTTTTTACGAACAATGGCTTGGGTCTTTTGAGCCCAGTTGGCAACCAGATAACAGTTTTTGATCTTAAGAAGTAATTGTTTTGAGTATTCCTGATCGATGTCTTTTTAAGAGATGAAGTAGCATCTATTGATATTTCCTCGTTCCACGATGTGCATCATTTGGCGTTGTCTCCTTCAATACCTCTTCTAGTCGCCATTAATGAGGGTAATATGTTATTGAATGTAACCAATGGCTGTTATTAATAGTTGGTGATGCGTCTTTATGCTCACTCTCCACAGGAGCTGTGATATCTGTGTATCCTTTCAAGGGAGTGGTCTTGGCTGTTTCCTTCAGCCCAGATGGAAAGTAAGTTGCCATTGTATTCCTACTTATTTTAGGTTCTTGGCTGTTGCAAAAGGTAATAATGTGATGCTTTTCTTCGCACCCTCTCCAAACCGCCAGTTTAATCATTTGGAACTCTATCGCGTGTTTTACGGCTTTACAGATAACGTTACTTGTATTGATTGGTCTCGTGATTCTAGGTAAACCCATAAAAATAATAATCTGTTCAGGTTTTTCATTGCTGGATCAGTCGATTCCACTATCCGGTTATTCTCGGTATACAATATACCCAAAATATTCGTCTACACACTAGCTGGACACAAAAACCCTATTATGGGGGCATTCATACTTCATAACTTTGTAAATATATTAACAGTCAGCTCTGATGGCGTATTATGTTTCTGGGAGGCAAACGTTTCTCTTGATCAGCTGAAGAGCATTGATGACTCAAAACCTGTCTCATTATTTAGGATCAGCAATAGGTGAGTCTAGTATAAAGTCATATGCTTATGCTTTTCATTCCTTATATGGTTAAATTGTATACGAATAATTTATGGTGTTTACACGATGTAGAAATAAAAACTTGATTCCTCTTGAGCTAGTTTTTATGGTCGGAAACAAGTTGGAAATTCAACAAAATACCTGGACATTCGATAACTTTCGTTCAAATTATCTTCGTAATTTGCTGTAGTGTTACTAGTCCAGAGCCTGACTCATTTACGCGCTCACCTTTTTTAAAATACAGTCTCAAAATCATTCATGAACTAAATTTGGGATGCTCGTCAGCTGCAAACAAATAGACGGTCAAATAATTTGCACCAACCACCAGTTCGTCTAGCAGTATCTTGTTGTATTTTTATTTGCAATTCAGCTGCATCGCAGTTACATAATAGTTGCGATAAAATATTACTGTATATAGTTCTAAAACGCTGAGATATTGGGTGGACTAAAAGTAGTGGTGTTCATCGCTGTGTGTGATTGAATAAGACTTAGGTATTTCATTGATCAAAACGTTTATGGTTTTACAACTTCCTGGAACAATTCGTACTGTTCTATAAGATGCCAAAGCTAGTGGTGTCATTGGCATGTTAGGATGCTTTCCGTTTTCAGTCAATGAAAGTATAGGTAGAATACAATGGGGTTTACATCTATCTTCTTCATGACTTTTTTGCGATCCCATTTATTTAAACTAAAAACAAGCGAATACTGGCTAAAATCTAGTTGAGAATCCTCCTTTCTGGTTTTTATCCCATCTCTAATTTGCTAAGTATAAGCTCATATACTTTGCTTTTAATCTCACTTCAAGTACCAGTCACTGTGACTAGATGATTACTGAAACTTAAGTATGTCAAGAAGGGCTGGGACCTGCTATCTAATTGTTAATAGTTAAACACTGTACCCACTAAGTTCCTGCATTCTTGGCGAAAAGCTGTTCTTCAGTCTTTGGAAATATAGTTCTCATAGGTTGACTAGGGAAGACTATGTTACTGTATGTAATTAGTTTCTATATGGGACCCCCATATGTAGCATACATCAATGATACAAGTTTTTAAGGAATTGGCTAGTGAAGCATGTACAATTATACGTTTTTAAATTTTAAGAGCTCCAACAGTAAAACTAAATATCCATTTCCAGGTGCGTTGTAGCTGATTGACTGACCGACTGATCACCCGAAATAACGCAGAAAAACTAGATGGCTAAGTTTATCGAAAGCCAACTCATACAAATCAAATTCTAATTGCAGTAGCAACAAACTAACAGCTCATAAGTTCAACCGCATGTGATTTCAGTCAGTCACAACGTAGAACTTAGTACGTACGCATATCGGTTCAAGTTGCCATACCCATTTAATTCAGAGTCGAATTTGTCAGTCCAAATCGGAGTATAGTAGAGGTGGTGACAGTACGAGTGATGAACCAAATACGAAGGTTATTAAAAGAAAGAAAATGCACTACAGCACAACCAACACAGAAATAAAATGAAATGCCCAGTGATGGTTATGCAAATGAGCAGTTGCCTACGTAAATCGTCAAAAAGATGCTTAGCCGACTCACTAATGATCACTAAATCGAATGTTAAAGTCAACAAACGGATCATCTTATCGTAAATGAAGATGTCGGAAATCGCAACAAGATTATTGAGACAATCTGGGATGGGTGTAGTGCATAAGCTGGCAAAACCACCCTATCAATTTCATACAAACCAGGAAATGAAATAACAAGTAAAAGAGCCAAACATCATCTACAAGCTAAACTTCTAAAACTGAGTGGAACATTATATCGAAAAATCCTCGTCTGCATGGACACTAGTCATCTGTCAAACTCCACAAAGTATCTCCGCTTGTATCAATGCACCTAGATAGTCGTGGGTAAGCGTTCGATTGGAGAAATATTAAAGCATTGGACTTAGTAAATATAAAGAACGTAGAAATTTTGAAAGTCCAATACTCGGTTCAATCAGCAACCAATAAACATATTGGGATCTATCTGATTTGTCAGATAGAAAAATCATAAACAAGGTCAAGTATTCAGATAAGAGGGGAAGACGACCAAAATAAATACACAATGACAGGAAAATTGTATACAATGAGCGATCAAGTTAATCATTGACACAAGTTGTTATTCATATGTAATGGAATTCTAGTAGCTCACTTCTATCTGGAATTTACACTGAAGATTTCGTCTAGGATAATAACTAAAACGTCACAATTAGACTACCCGGCTTAGTAAATGAAACTCGACTAATATGTGAAAATGTACATAGTTATAAAATATACAAAACACCATCTGCACACATTCTTGTTGTCAAAATCATAAGGTAATGAATCATTCATTTTGTATAAGTTTTAATGATGCTACCTAGCTATCTAGCCCCCAAATGCCCTGGTACGACCGAGAGTGGGGGAGTCCGCTCTCCCTCTCGAAATGCTCTCACATGGCCACGCATATATAGCCTCTGCCAGGGAAATCCTACTCACTTCCTTCTCGTGGCGGGGGTGTTGTTTACAAAAATGAGAGGATGAAAAGCGAATGTCCGGCGCTTTAACCGGATTCCAAACCAATGGTGCACATGGGCTCCAGTGTTCTGAGGGAACAAATGGTGTATGAACCAATCGTTGGTCACCGGCTACCATGTGACTGCATCTCCTCACGATGCTCCACTGCCTTGTGGATCAAACCTTCAGGTCGAAGGCTCGGGGTGTGGCCCCCCTAAGAAAACCACCTGCTTCGGTCTGGGCACCCGGACAGTATCACAGCCCTCACACATATCGAATGAGACTTGTGTGGTGCATATGTATTTGGTGCCTCCTTGTCCCAATATCTGTGTGTTAAAATAAATAAATAATCTAGCTGATCTGATGTTGGTGAGTAAAGTGACATTCAAATACATGAACCTCTGGTTGATAGTTAGGAGTTTAAATCAAAGTGCAAAGTTGACTTAAAATTGTTCTATTCTTGCTCCTTTTTTAAGAGACATCACTTTCAGTGATTGTTTATTGGTATTATTATCATCCGAAAAGTTATTTTGTGTTTAAGAGTATCCAGGTGCTTAATAAATCCTTGATTAAGGTTACTGAAACTAATTCAAAATCATTTTGGTCACGCGTAACACCGTTCATCTTGAATTTATTCAATTTTCCTATCTGTTTTCAGATATCGTTATACAAACTCTAACGAAGTGCAAATCAACGATCCCGTTAGTGCAGTGGCATTTCATAAAGATTTAAAAATGCTTGCAACTGGGTTTGAATCAGGGTTACTTTTACTACATACATTTCCAGACTTCATAATAATCAGTGAAGTAAAGTAAGATATTACATTTTTTAAATCTATTATATATTTTATTTTTTAAACAGTAAGAACACAGGTTTACAGAATAAAGTGAATTCATTCTATTTCACGGCTTAAATAAGTGTTCAAAAAGAAATAAAATCATAATAATAAGAATAGGATACAAATTGTGTGTACACTTTCTATTTTTGAAGAATTTATTTGAATTCAATGTACAGTGTATTATATTGGTGATAGAAACTCATTTCTTTTTCATTCGCAGTCTATTCACTAACAGTATAAGCAGTCTAACGATTAACCGTAATGGTGATTGGATTGGTGCAGGTTCAGAGCTATTCGGACAAATTGCTGTTTGGGAATGGAGATCGCAATCCTGCTACCTACGCGCTGATTCCCATTCTAAGGAAATGACTAGTTTGGCGTACTCTCCTGATGGTTTACATTTGGTAACTGGGGGTTATGATAACAAAGTGAAAGTTTGGCGTATATCTGGTGGCAGGTGTGTTGTAACCTTTACTGAGCACACAGCTGGTGTTACTGGAGTTGCATTCCCAGCTCAAAATTCCAAAGTCGTTTTGTCAGCCAGTTTGGATGGGACCGTTCGCGCTCATGATCTGATTCGGTATGTTTTTAGTCGTCTTCTAATACATATAGGGTTGAGGGAAATAGTTGATTAACATTTGTTCTTTGCTTTCCGGAATATACTTGTAAGCAAAGTAGTTTGTTTATTTACTAGGTAATTTGATTTGCATCGTTACTAGGTAACTAAAGAATTCATATTAGTGTCTGACACCAGTCGAAACACAAAATAATTGTAAGCCATATTTTTCTGCATCTAACTGAACTTATAACGGTCTACAGTTGTTATAAGTGATACATAGATTTTAAGAGGTTATCACTTTGATCACTGAAGTACTCGTTTCTGTACATCGTCATATGATAACGGTTTTCAGACTGCGAATTCTTACCTAAAATGGAAGGCTAAGTTTTTTCGAGCTTACATTACGATTACATTCAATATAACTATGAAAATTGTTTTCCAGGTACTTTCAGTTTGATAAAAATATAAATTAATACCAACCAAAATCCAATCTAACCAGTTTGATTACAGTTTTCGCCCTTACTGAGACTAACTCATTGGTCATCTAGTCGCTAAGTAAGCGTATGTAAAGCATCGCCTAGAAATTCTGAGATACGGAATTTATTTTTACTGTTAGTGTAGATGTAGAGATCATCATTAGTTATCCTTCAGCATATGTGTTGCATTGTTATCAAGTGTATGTTATTTATTATTAGCTTTTGTGTAATATTAATTTTTGATGATGATTTGAGTCAGTCAATTTATGTACTTCTCGAAAAATCCCAAGTCAGGCATATCCCTTCTTAAGTTGCAGTAAACCATTAGACCAAATGTGTCAGAATAAAGTTTTACAGTCCAATTAACTAAAAACTTCTCAGAGAAATGTAAGACATTTGTGAGGCTATTTGTCTGCTGATTATTATTTATTTGGACACATGAATATTGGTACAAGAGTGCCAATATATATGCGCCACACAAAACAATGAGAATGCGAAGAGAAATAGAAAACAAAAACTAAGGAGCGCAAAAGAAAAAGAGAACAATAACGAAGAGATTGGTGTAAGGTAGTGTGGTAGTAACGAGGGAACGGAAAGGTACAATCAGAAGAAATCTTTCAGGTAAGTGAGACACAACCACTTTATGAAGAAAGTAAAAGGTTACAGCAGGATCGCCACTGGCTTCTATTCTGAGCCATATCTGATAACGTCTCTAGCCACTGTGTAGCACCATCTTTCAGACCCCAACCAGGGAGTCGTGAAGGACCGACAGAAGCCAGTCCTTTGCAGCTTTCTTTCATGCCACGACACCATGTCATGCACTGACCACCTCTCCGCTTCTTCCAACCAGTCCCAAAGTCGGCAAATAATGCACGACGTGCAATTCTCAGGGACGACATTCGTAGTACATGTCCAAGCCACCGAAGTCGGTGTTTCAAGATGGCGACACCAATTGAATTATCATCTCTGTGCCCGAACACACGATGCCGAACCTCTGCATTACTAACATGGTGTTGCCACTTGATGTCAACAATCCTTCGGAAACAACGATGATCAAACACAGAGAGTCGTCTAACATCCTCAACTCGGAGAGGCCAGGTTTCACAAGCATAGAGCAGAACTGCTCTCACCGACGCGTTGTGGATCCGACCTTTTACAACCAGACTAACATCACGAAGGTACCAAAGATGGCCCAGATTGGCATAAGCCGCTCTGGCTTTCACTATACGTGCATTGATCACATCACTCACACCCCCACCAGCACTTATGCAGCTACCCAGATACACGAACTTCTCGACTACTTCTATCTGCTCACCATCCAGAGTGAGTACAGGATTGGAATCCTGCCAGTCTTGTAGAAGGACTTTGCACTTTGAACGTTCAAAGCACATACCGTACCTACGGACACTAATTGCCAACTGATTAAGTGCGGATTTCATGGCTTAGGCATTATCGCACAGTAAGACAATATCGTCCGCATACTCAAGGTCGAGAAGTCTTTCTCCAGGCAACAGATCCACACCGCCATTACTTACATCCACCAGAGCTGTTTCCAGAATGTCATCGATGGCAAAGTTGAAGAGGAATGGTGAGATTGGACAACCCTGCCTAACCCCACTGCTCGAATGGAACAATGGAGAGGGGTGGTTGTATGCCCTCACTCTACCTGAGGTGTTTGTATATATGGCTTTTAGGACGTTAATAAACTTCTCAGGCACACCCTTCTTCAATAGACAATCCCAGAGAACAGTCCTATCCAACGAATCGAAGGCAGCCCTGATGTCAAGAAACACTACGATTGTTGGCCTTTGACAAGTATGGCGGTGTTCTAACATTTGGCGGAGGGTGAAGATATGATCAATGCATCCTCGACTAGAACAAAAACCAGTCTGCTCCGTGCGAGTCAATCTTTCTCGGGTTTTGAACAACCTACGAAGTATGACGGAAGCCAATAGCTTGGACACAATCGGAAGTAGACTTATCCCCCGATAGTTATTACAGAAAAGATGTGAACCCTTTTCAAAGATAGGAACAACTATCGACTCATTCCATGGCGTTGGTACACTCTCTAGTTCCCAAACTTTTGTAAACAACGTCGTCAATTCCTTAGTCAAAAAGTCACCACCATCTTTAAAAAGAGCCGGAGGTAAGTCATCTGGGCCAGGTGATTTGTAACGCTTCAAGAGTTGGAGTTCCTTGCGGACTTCCTCCTCGTTTGGTGGATCAGTCGTCACCGGCCATGGAGGGCAGGACAGTCTGACCGATGTTGCCGGAGCAGCAGGCCAGTTGAACTGCCCTTCGAAGAATTCTGCCCACCGTCCAAGACGTTGATGGATGTTAGTGATTGGCATCCCATCATCCTCGCAGATTGTTTCACTCACACCAGACTTCTTGCTGCCAGTGGCTCGGATGAGCTGGAAGAGCTTCCGGTAGTTACTGCTGATTATATCCGTTATTGTAATATAGAGAGGTATTCAATGTTAATAAGAACAACTTTTAATCATGATTTCATTGTTATACAAAAATGAAGATAAGTTTATATACTTATACTCAGAATGGCAACGCTTTCCCTAAGGCGTGAAGTGGAGTGTTTAGTTTGTGCAAGTTTACGCATACTGTGTTTAGTTTCGATATTAATATTTAGGTTAAGCAAGAAGAATTGCTCCCAATCTCTTTTGCTGCACAAACTTTAGTTTTATTTTAACGTTTATTGTAACAAACAAGGTTCTAAGATTTTACTATCGATGAATATATTTTTCTAACCGAATGTTACCTATCCTTTTAAATTAATGTTTTAGAATTTCCACAAGAAGTTGATAATAATTATTTTGGTATACCAGTCTAGAGTTATAGAAAATACTTTGATATTTATTCAGTATTTCGTCAGTCTTTGCAAGTAATAGATGCGTGAAGTTTACATGTCATTTTTCGGATTTTAAGCATAATGATATAAGAATACAAGTGATACAAGCCCCATTCACGCAGCGTTTGTTTTGATTTAAATAGAGATTTGATCTTCCTACTGCTCATACGGTTGTTACAGTTCGTGATCTAGTAAGTAGTCAGTCACATTTCCTATTTAATAGCCAAGTACTGATGAATATTCAGTCGATTATGAAGTGTTTCATAATCTATTATTGATCTCAAGGATCTAGCCAGATATTTGAATTATAATTGGCGATTTCTTTAGATTTCGAAACTAAACGAACGAAAATACTCTATAAAAGTTCATTCAAACTTTGTGTGTTATTTCAAGGAATAAAAGCTTTTTATTCTGTACCAGAGCTTGTTATTCTCTGAGTGTATTTGTTTTTTGTCATTATTGTGTCTAAAGCTACAGGAATTTCCGTACATTCACTGTGCCTACTCGTCGCGTTCAGTTCTCGTCGTTGGCTGTTGATACGCGTGGCTCTCTTGTTGCTGCTGGAGGTCTGGATACTTTTGAAGCTTATGTATGGTCAGTTAAGACGGGTCAGTTGTTGACTACCTTAACAGGGCATACTTCTCCCATTAGTGCACTAGCATTTAATCCTGCCATTTCTGGTATTGATATCGAATTGGCTACTGTTAGTTGGGATTGTACGCTTCGATTATGGGATGTTACAGGCAATTCGACTGATGAAAATAATTTATCTAGTATGGGTCTTACAAAAGAGGTTGTTAATTTTTCATGTGATGGTGAGTTACTTACTTCTTAACTTGTCGAACAATATATATTTAGGTTCTTAATGTAGCTCATCTAATTTGACGATAATGTGAATTTATGAAAAGTTACCTCTACACACATGAAATTATGAAGTCAAGAAGCAACTATCGATTTGCATTTAATTGGTGGTTGTTTATTTGACTTATGGCCAAGTAGATATAAGTTGTCATTAGGTGATGAATATACTTTAGAAAACATTGTTGAATACGAGTCGTTCTAGTATTCATGTTGCTTCATGTGGTCGTCCAGACCTCATGAGTTATATATAAATAAGATCTCGCCACATACAAAAGGAATTTTATGCTTTTTACAAATTATGCCATTTGTAATGCAGGCTGAATACTCATCTTTTTATTAACAAATGCGTATCGCACAGGATATTGACATGTCTTTCTTCATGGCTGTAATTTTATCTGTAAAGTTGGAAGACGTTTAGGTTGTCGGTATTTGAATATCATTGTCTTCAAAAAATTGCTTGTTTGATGGAAACGCTAAGGAATTAATGGAAATTTTCTTCGGATAATCCTAGGAATAATTGGTTAATATGTCTATACGATTGGGAAGCGGTTAAACTGTTCCAAATCAATTCACTTATCGACTTTTGTTGTGAATTGTGTAGGGGAGTAGAAACTTGGTTATAATCCGTGATATAAACGTGGAAAATTATTTTTAAAAGTCTCAATTTTGTTTCCTTTGGTTCCCATCTTTTGCAGTTACTGTCGGTATCGGTATTTTTGATCCTTTACATGTTCTCACGTTTATTAGTTGGTGTATAATGCAACACTTAGGTCGATAAACATAGGTATTTATTTCCACCTTACTTCTCGTTGTTTTGATGTGATTTCCACGATAATCTGTCAACGTCGGTATTATCTTCAATATTGTTTGTAGAGAACATCCTACCATCAAAATGCTATAGTTTCTTGTTTGTCCATTACTAATTAGCTGTAATGACAAACGGTTGACAAAATAGATCCTTTTCTTTCAACTTTTCTTTGTAACTGGATTCACGAAAATATTCTGTTGTAGATATTCGTTTTTCACTATTGAAGGAAAGCTAATGGTTGTAATGGGTAATCTTAAAGAGAAATTTTAAACTATGATCCAGTCAAATCTGTTAGATGAAACGTTTAATGATCAGTCAAAGTCGGAAAATATCTTTTTTATGAGAGATTGCGTTGAGTATGATGAAAGTAAAATGGTTAGACTGCATTATTTCCTCATAACAATCCCACCATCAACACATTTCATTGTGATGAAAACTAAAGCATATGTTTGCAGAGGTCTAATCGGTTTGTCATTACAAGAATTCATACACCTAGATAAAGGTATATATTAAGTAAATAAGTTATTACTCTACTCAACAACCTTTTAGTCGATGCCCAGAAGAAACTCGTCATATCATGCGTTTAAACTCCTGTCAGTCATTCTTTGTGAACTTTATGTAGAGTTATGGCTTATAATCACTGCCTTCTTTATTCTTTAGTTAGGTTTTGAGAAAACTTTACCACTAAAGGAGATTTAAAAAATTTAGTGGGTTTAATTTGTCTAATTACAGAAGGCTTTATTTTAGGCACTGGAATATATACTACTTTTGAGTAGATCAAGTGAATTCACAAAAATTACATACATTTGTTTGTTAACTATGCCACATATTTCGCATTTCAGTTTTACACAGACAAGACTATTTTATCTTTGTAAATGCCAGAAAGTTATTGTGCACAGTTCAAATATTTTTAGAATAAATGGTATAAATGGTTGTTAGTACCATACAACTAATGGCAAATGCAGCAGTACTTATAGCTATATTGTGCTAGATTTTGTATACTTTGGATGATAATTAAAACTGTTATCATGAGTATTTAGTCCAGCACCATATGCAAAACTAAGTCGATGCTGATCATCGTGAACTTTCATGAATCCGCTAAAGTTCTGCTTATCATCCCGGAGCTTGTTCACATATGCTCCACATCTTTTTCATTGTAAAAATTGGGAACTCAAGTTCGGAAGTTCTAACTAGGTTATAGTTACATAAATATCATTCTAAATAAAGGCGAATAAGGTTAGTACATACCTAAAGTCCATGAACCAGTGTCATGCTTTGTCGTATAATTATACTCCCATGCCATTGGAAAAACGATAAATTCGAACACCAACTGTCAAAAGCTCCATGCACTGAGCAACCAACCTCCAGTAAAACGAATGTATTTATCAGCTGTACAAAATATATGATGCACCATATGCTACATGTAATACAATACAATTGTGGTGTATGCTAATTATGCTGGTAGACATAATTAGCATGTAGCAGCAATCGAAAATGGAATACACACATGCACAAGATTGAATTAAAGAGAATGGGGAAACAGAGAGCGATTCGAATAACAACAGAATTGGAAGAGTCATGAAGTATTTAAAGGAAAAATAAAGGGAGATGTGCAAATAATTTATTTAATGTGTGATTTTCATGTTTTACAAGGAGATTGTGTAATTCTGCACTAAACAGTAAATTAGTTTTTCCCACCGAGTCTTCTGTCACTACACATTTGGTGCCGTTGTCTACCAAGATGCGGAATGATGTTACTTTTTCAATGTTTCGTGTAACGTATTTTCACTTACAAATTCATAATTAATTTAGTACGACTATGGAAATCTAAAAGCGAAGTGATGTATTCACTTTATTGGTTAGTGGTTCTCAGGGATAAAAGCGTAGAATATATCTGCAATGTAAATCATTTCAATATAGAACTTAACGTAACTGATTTATGAATTGTAAGAATCGTATTTCCCAGTGAATATTCTAATGCCACAGGTAGTATTTTGTCCGTACACCCTACTATTTATAGTCAACTATTTAGTTGTATTTAGTTTCGTTTTACAGTCTGATTTTCTTCAGTAGCAATAATTATTTCAAGATTGATCATCATATTATATTTAGAAAGTCCTTATTGTTTTTTTTGTATTGAATTGTAGCTTTATATGTTGTATATCGAGCTGATGGTAAGCAGCTGGCTATTTCCCTTTTAAATGGAAATATAGTTTTCTATGACCCTGATGAAGGGGTTGAAATGGGAACCATAGATGGTCATCGGGATCTTGGGGTAGCACAGACTAATGAGGAAGACTTAGTTACCCCACGTAGAGCAGCCGAATCTAAGTATGTTTATTATAATGTATCATAGTTTTATAAATGCTTTTTTAAAAGAATATTTGGTATCTTTTTTAAAACCCGAGCATCGTCAGAAGCTCTGAAAATATCTATCATAAAATTATATATCAGTATCACAAAGCTAACAAAAAAATAAAAATCATCAAATAATGATTCTTCAAATAAATAGGAACTCATTGTTTCCGATTAAATTTATAGTTAACATCAATCTGTGACGTAAATTATCTTCAAAAATATACTTAATTAGCCATAACTAATGCTTTAGTTTGTCTGTTTGACTATACACACTTAAATATTTTTATTACATATTCTTGTCAATAGGAAATTCCAAACTATAGCTTATTCTGTCGACGGTGAACATTTAATAGCAGGTGGAGATTCAAAATACATATGTCTCTATTCTGTTCCTGATAAATTATTAATTAAACGATTTGAAGTCACATGTAATCTCTCACTAGCTGGAGTTCAAGAGATACACGATCGACGTAACTATTTACATCGTTTCAGTATGGAAACAATGAACGCCAAAGAAGCACAACGTCCTAGTTTGCGAATCCCATCAAGCATTAAGGGTGAAGATCGTAGTCGTCGCCAGTGGAGACCTGAAGTGAGAGTTTCTGCAGTTGAATTTTCACCTACAGGTACATTGACAGATTTTTGTTGGTCCCAATTTTCAACTTTTTGATTATTTATCAATAGTTATATGTTTTATAAAATATATATCACATCTATAATCAGTCTAATCCTTAACTTATATCGTTCTACGCTTTATGTCCACAGGTGATTCATTCGCAACTGCCACTACAGAAGGTATTCTTGTATATTCCTTACCATCTGCTGGAACAGGATATGGCATAAGTAGTATTTTTGGTGCTTCAAGCTGTAGTGATAGTGGTTGGTTGTTTGATACATTAGGTATTGATGAACAAACCACTCCATCAAATGCTCGTAGTGCACTCGTTCAAGGTAGACATGCAGAGGCGTTGGACATGGCTATTCGGTTGCAATCGCATGAACTTGTTGAGGAAGTCATTGAATCAATTCCCGTTGACGAAAGTAAACATTACTTAGATCATTTTACATATATATATTTTTACCTGTCACCATTAAATCTCTTCATTACTGGCATGATCTAGCTATTGAATTTTCTTGATCAAATCGGTCATAAATTTTTAAATTTTCAGATTTATTCCTAATAATCTCATGGTACATAATATTAAAAAGATTTGCTGGTATTTAATTGTGGTTAGACTAACCGTATTTCTAAATGTCATCATGGTCAGTGATTCAGTTCTCTATCCTTCAATGACTTTATGTTCAGTTTTTCTATTGCAACTGTAACTCATATGAGAGTAGATAGCTGTCGCATTGTCTTGTACTCATTTTTTCTATTTCGTACAGTTTATACTGAAAACGATCTTAGTTGTAGTAAATTCGAGTAAGATGTAAAACAGTTAAGACAATCAGCATAGTCAAAGGGCTGTCGTTATCACTTTTGAGTATTATTATTTAATAGTATTTATGCTATTTTTAAGTCTAAGTAACTGAATAATTCCATTCATCAGTACGTAAGTGGGCAGTATATGCCCTTGAATAACGGGAGGTGAGATATTATTGTGGAAATTTCATCTTATTTGATTTAGGCCTCGACATAATTTATTTATGATTGGGTAAGCATCCTTGGGTGACATTTCTTTCGTCCCATAAAAGCAGTTAAGTTTTATGTAATTTATATTTCGGTTTCCTGTGATAAAGCTGGAAATTGTTAACAATTAGTGATATAAAAAGCCTCAGTTGATGATGTTAACTACTGCACGTTTTCATAAATAATGAGATTATTTTCAGAGTTCTTGCAAACGAAAAAGGACCTAACAGCTGTTCATATTCGTCTTACTGTATGATGATGCCCAAGCCATGAAATCCGCACTTAATCAGTTGGCAATCAATGTCCATAGGTACGGTATATGCTTTGCACCTTCAAAGTGCAAAGAACTTCTACAAGACTGGCAGGATTCCAATCCTGTACTCACTCTGGATGGTGAGCAGATAGAAGTAGTCGAGAAGTTCGTGTATCTGGGTAGCTGCATAAGTGCTGGTGGGGGTGTGAGTGATGTGATCAATGCACGTATAGTGAAAGCCAGAGCGGCTTATGCCAATCTGGGCCATCTTTGGTACCTTCGTGATGTTAGTCTGGTTGTAAAAGGTCGGATCCACAACGCGTCGGTGAGAGCAGTTCTGCTCTATGCTTGTGAAACCTGGCCTCTCCGAGTTGAGGATGTTAGATGACTCTCTGTGTTTGATCATCGTTGTTTCCGAAGGATTGTTGACATCAAGTGGCAACACCATGTTAGTAATGCAGAGGTTCGGCATCGTGTGTTCGGGCACAGAGATGATAATTCAATTGGTGTCGCCATCTTGAAACACCGACTTCGGTGGCTTGGACATGTACTACGAATGTCGTCCCTGAGAATTGCACGTCGTGCATTATTTGCCGACTTTGGGACTGGTTGGAAGAAGCGGAGAGGTGGTCAGATTTCTTTCTTTTTTGACGACTTGTAGGAAATAAACCATTCTATTCTATTCGAGTTGGTTATTTAAGATATTTAGCTACTTTATACATGGAATACTTTCTGATGATGAAATGCTGGAAAGTTTTTTCTTGGTAATGTCCTTCAGCCTATTGGACAATTTTTGATTGTGGAAATAGGTTGCACATACAGTCATCGGATTTGTGAAAAAGTCTTTGCAATGAGTAAATATAGATTAAGTCTTTGTAGTTGAAACTTGATATTTGGTAGTGATCAATTACTGAAGGGAAATCTGATGTCTCATAAACAATCTATTATTTCATAGGTTTAATTTTCACACTGCTGATATATTTTTCATGAATTCTTTCTTCAAGGCTGTCTACACTTTGAATTTTCGTTATGTTTTAGTTGACTTTTTAGCCCGTCAACTCCCTATCAATCAAATTGCACATTATCTCATCTCTTTTCTTGCTCGTCAGTTGAGTGGCCGATCACGTCATGTTGAGTTATATGTTCGCTGGACACATTCTATACTCCGTTCTCATGCGTTGAACTTGCGAAGAATAGCTGCTAATTCAGCTTTATCTGAATGTACGAGTTCTAAGGAGTCAAGAAATCTTCCGAATAACGAATCAATAGACAACAAAAAGGAACTTTGTAATCCAGGTTTTTTAACTTTACAAGGTGAATGGGCAACTTGCCAAGCAAACTTAGTTCGCTTACAGGCTAGTCTGAATCATGTAAAGTCTAATATAATCAAACAGTGAGTTATTTTATCGATTGATCCAGATCGTCTTTCCATTCTCTAAATATTATTATCATTCTTTTAACATTTTATTAATCTTCTTACAATTAAGTTGGTGTGTTTTATACTTATTTATCGCTGCATTTAAACCTAGGCTGGTGAATTAAATATTTTTACAAGTGAATACTCACGAACATTTCCACACAGTTAACCGTCAGTCATGTGTTGTGTGTTTCTTGGAAGTTTTGTTTTGTTGCTTAAACGAGGCTAAGTGGTTGAGTTTCAACAGCGACATAGTTGGAGTGCGAGCTACACATGATCAATTAGCTATATCTACTGGTATTATATACTTAATTGTGTGTATATTTATATATTATTTTGATCTATTTTGGGGTCTATCGTATTCGTGTTATTACTTGCGTCGTTCGATTCATGGTTTCCAGTAGCAAGGACCCAAGATGGTCAACTATATTCCACAAGTGTAAAAGGGTTCTACTAGAACTATTCCATCACTGGTTTACTATTAATCCTTACCATTAAGATAAAGCCTATGAATACATTAACATTTTTATGTGGTTCCCAGTCGTTCGAGATTTCATATTTGAGTGACCTGATATAATTGAACAACTTCAAGGTTTTCATCTTAGAACTGGTTTTTCCCAATAATATGTTATATATATATATATATATATATATATATATATATATATATATAAAATACTCTCATTTTAATTCTTTTAATTCGGTCTTTGGTTATTTCAGTATGAATTCGTTGTTTTAATTTCTTTTTACTTAGTTTGATTTAGATTTTTTTCCTAACTAATTTGTTAAATCTATATCATTTTCTTCACTCATTGTTTTTTTAAAACTTCACATCAACTGATTAAGTGTTGAGGGCAATGATTTGTTATAACTTATGGCATGTGTGCCCTGTTAATGTATAACGTAATGATACCGCCAATTAGAGAGCAGTGAGTTATCGATCGGACCAGTGACGCGTAAAACCCATGAGAGCAGTCTAGAGTCCTTATTGGTCCTACTTCCTGCCTAACCCATCCAGTTAAGTCCAGAACACCAATCTCAGCCTCTGCGATATGAATCATTTATTTCAAGCATACTGGGTTTATATACCAACCAGACAGACCACATCGTAACATAAAATAGGAAAGAACATTCTTACAAGTTTTAGCCAAAAGTGGCTGTGAGTGTAGGAGGTAGTAATTATTAGACAGGGCATAATTCAAAAATGGTAAATCGTATAATAATAGTTCACAGGTCAAAATAAAGCTCATAATAAGAGAGACATGAATATGAATAGTTTAGCTATTTAACAATTATTTGATAAAAATATACTCATAGTATTGGTCCATAAATGGATCACAAACGTTACCATTCATTATGCTTATCGGGACATAACACAATTAATAGTATAACTTTAATGATCATGCTATTAATTTCACTATCTTAATTATACTTCTTCGTAAGAGATAGAATATTTTACTCATTTTGAACTTTATTTGACCATTGTTAATGCTGCATAACTGAAATGTGTTGTGTATTCATAAGACGGTAGATGTTAATAAACTTTTATGTCATTCATAAACTTCACTAAAAATAAAGTTACGATTATTTCATCAGTTTATCAGTTGATTATATTCTTGATTACACTTCTCAATCATGAATGTTATTAGAGTAAGTTATAACCTTAAAGAAGTGTTTTTCATTTTCTAATAAAAATGATTATTCGTTTACTAGATTTCTCTATCTAAATGATATTTTGTATATGTGTACCCCTTCTTTTATTTCTTATATCCAACGGGTTGTTTTCGAAGCTAATTTAGTTACAATCAATTCAGTTTTTCCACCCTTTACTTTTCCTCTATTTTCTAATCTTCACTTCTTTGTGGTTTTTTCTCTTGTTTCTCTAATTAATTTGATAAAGAATGACAGATTATTTTGATTAAAAAAGCTACTGGAGTCAATTCTGTTGTTAATCAGATAAATAAATAAAATTAACTAACGATTATCTATCATTTCTGTCTTACATTTTCTAATGATTTTGCTGCTATTGTTATCATTGTTGTGTGAATAGATTGACGTAAGTCAACATTGTTTCTGTTATTCCTACCTCTTTTCTTTCGTCTTTTTAAATTCTTTTGTGTGGTGAAGTGTTTACGCTGTAAATTATGTTGCATTTGTTGAAAGAGGAAAAATATAGTGTTTGTTGTCAGTTTTTTGTTACCATAGTATCAAGTTAGTGTTTTCCTCGCCCGTTGATCTGTTGTGCTTGTGACTTGAGATATAGAGATAAGTTTTTTTTAAAGATGAAAGTCTATAGAAGTAACTAATAATTTTTAATAACATCATACTGTTTCTTATTCATATTAATCAATTCTTTACCAGTGTTGTATAACAAAGGTTGAATAGATGATTCAAGTTCTGGGAACAAATCGTGACAATGTAGATCCTTGTGGATGAACTATAATGAGTTATAGCGACTTCGACCGTTTTCCATTGATGTAGTGTTTTATCCTAAAACTTGTTTAGGTAAGCTTACTAACTAGGTACTAATGCACAACACTTAAGGTGCTGTATTGAATACTTAAAAAAGAAATCTGTCATACCTAAAACTGCAACCATTAGGTGTGATAACGAATCATCTACCTAATAAGGTGGAGCTGCGAATGAAACTGTAGCCACTAAAATCCAACAAAACACGCAACACAAGATTAAAATGATTTTCCAGTCTGAGAATTGGGTAGATAAATATGACTCACCGGCTATTTTTGTTTTCTGCAATAAAGTCATTGTTATACTCTTCATTATCAGCAGTCTTCATAATGAATGTGATATCCATCGATGTGAACATTCTAACAGTTACTTCAAAATTACTGCCTATTGTTATACTTCTCATTTTGTTCGGAATGAGTACAAAATTAGCTCAAAAATCTAGCCAACTTACGTGCCGGTTATCACTATGTCGATTTTCTCTTCTCTTCTCTCAAGTTGTTGAAACGACGTCACGCACAATTGAGGACCTTAATAGGAGGAGATCGTGTACTTACTGTTAAAACCTTATAAAGTGCATTATCATGTCGACATACATACTGATAGATGGTTTTTAGTTAAGATTTATCGACGCTCCTAGCAATGCTGCATCTGGAAGGGTTGACAGATTTTTAAAAATTTTTAAAATCTTAGTTATTTACTCAATCTCTGTTCTTGGTTCTATCATTTTTTTCACGCTCCGTTTTTATCACAAAAGTCTTCACATTTTCCAGTGCCCTAATGTAACACGATTTTGTAATAACTGTTGAAGTTCTTACAAGCGCGATAAAGCCTGTGAGTTGTGAGAATAATCAAACTCTTAAAATGTTCATGATTCCATGCTCAAAACATAATTCGAATTAATAAATTTTTTTTAAAGTTTGTTATTATTTCAATTCTTACACTCATAAATCTGCTAATTTTCACATTTTTTTCCAGTTGCGAAAATGTGGACAATTTGTGGAATTATTACGAAAGTTTATTCAAATTGTATCACGAAAAGGATGATAATAATGTACAGAGTGAAAATATCATGGAATATAGTTCGAGCTAATTAGTTTCATATTGTACTTATTCACTCTTACATTATGAAAAGTGCGTGTATTTATAATTAATATAACTCGATTTATTGACAATATAATCACATCTTTGTTCGTAGATTATCCATTTATCGTGAATTGTATCTTCAAAACATACTCATAATCAAAATGTTTGTAAATACAAGTTCTTTCAGAAGTGTTCATGGTTGTTATCAATAGTCGGAACTAATCAAAAACATTACTCTATACATAATCCCTAAAAAACGTGTGGATATCTGAATCATATCGTACAATGATAATAAGACTTTCTAAAATCCTAAACAAAACTACCTGTTTTACGTTCTCCACTAGGAACAATGGAAGCCCCAGGCTTAAATATCACGCAGATGCAGAATAGCTGGGTCAAAGTGTCGTAAAATAGCTGTATGCAAACTACCGTTTGTTAATTCTATGGCATAATTACAGGTCAGAAGTAGCCAGTCTTTGTGTAATAGTAATACCAAGACAATAAACTTGGGACTTCTTGTGTTACAGTTTTCTGAACCAATAGTCAAACTAATCATTTGGTGAATATGTAAATATTGAAGGATGATTAGCATCCTAGTTTTGAAGGAAATTTTTATATTATGACAGCAATTCAGCAACTTGACTGAATCCACAAAATGTATGTAACTTGCTACTTTAACGTGATTTTGGAGAAATTTCTAAGTAACACTTGGCGCATTTACAATTAAATTAGTTTTATGTTTCGAAATATTTTAGAATTGCGATAGATACGTTAGTTACCCTGATTAAAGTGATTTACTTATTTACTTACGCCTGTTACTCCTAATGGAGCATGGGCCGCCGACCAGCATTCTCCAACTCACTCTGTCTCCGCCTTCTTTTCTAGTTCCATCCAATTCTTGTTCATTTTTCTCATGTCTATCTCCGTTTCACGGCGTAATGTGTTTTTTGGTCTTCCTCTTTTCCTTTGGCCTTGAGGACTCCATCTGAGGGCTTGTCTCGTGACGCAGTTGGGTGCTTTCCTCAATGTGTGTCCTATCCACTTCCAGTGCTTCTTAATTTCTCCCCCCCGGAAGGACTTCAGGCGGAGTTGATTTAGGTGACTGCAGGTGCTTAATTTTAGTTACAGTCGTTATTTCCAAAGGCTTCGATAAGAAAATGAAATAATACACGGAAATTTGTCTTGATAAGAAACTTGTACTGCTTTTTCTTTTATCCTGGGTCCCATACTAGGGCGAAACAGCTGTCCAGTGCTTCTAAGTTTTCACTTGTGGTCTAGCTTACATCGACTCATGAATTCAACTAATAATTCACTACAATCTCCACAAAACTTCATTCTAGTAAAATTTAAATAAAGTGAAAACAAGATTTTGTGGAATAACATGAATTCATTATATTTCAAGGCTTCTCATCAGTTGCGAGTACCCTAAATTTATATTAGTGATACTATTATAGGAAGTTTTACATACCGTAATAAACGAAGTTGAGTTCTAAATAAAATAAGAAACACGAAGAGGAAACGACATATTTAACTTAACATTTAAGCTTTGTTAGTATTTATATGCTGAAGATGAGGGATAGAAGTGGATTCATGAATGATAATTAAAAGACAATGAGTGAAATTAAATTGTTAGCAAGAAGTGATAATCGAGGCACCCAGCCGACATATAATTAAAGCTAACGTCTTGAGTGAATATGAGTGGGATTTTTTAAGTTATAAAGTACAATAAAGAGCAGGTAGCTAGAAAATAATATAACTATCTTACCATGGTAATGAGTTCACTACAAGTTTTTCTGTGCACAAATTTAAATCGAAAGTGCTTCATGGCAGTTGCCTTCAGAGCGGTTTTGCTGCTTGTTAATTATCTTGGGCGGTTTTGTGATGTACACTCTCCATTAAATGTATAGTAATTGCATTTGTGAATCTTTTCAGGTATAAATTACGTAGAATATATTTAGAATACCTTGTAGATGGTCTTTTTTCCAGTCTTTCCTATATACTCGTAAATGTAAATTTATAAAATATTTGGTGACCCCAGGAAGTCACTGACCCACTTTTAATTGGTTTAATGAACATCTGGTGTTTACGCTGAAAATAATCGAGCTGCAAGGAGACTTCCCTCCGATAACACTGTAATCCTTTCTTTCCATCAAAACTGAAATCTCACCTTCGAATCCAAGATCGGCGAAGACTAGTTTTTTGTGGACTTCCCGTAAACACTTTTCTGTACTCCATAATCAATTTCTTTGGATATCCACTTTTTACAAGACACTCGTCACTGTATGCAATTTCTTCCTGTATTTCCGTTGTACATAAACGTCGTTTAGTCGAAACCCTTTTTAACAGGGCTAGAAGATTGTGGCCAACGAATAAAATATCGGAAGAACTAGCATACATTGAAAAATATCTTATGTAAAGTGTGTAAGACTTATGATAATATTACTGATGTAAATTCAGGCCATTCTTAACTGATAAGAAGCCATAAAATATAATGAATTCGTGTTATTTTGCGAATCTTGCTTTATTTCAATCATATTTTTAACGAATATTTAACTTACTAAGTACAAGATGATGAACTCAGCTATGAGTAATACATAAGTCGTGATAATTCCCGGAAGCCCAATCAGTAAATGGAAAAGGGTTAGGGTATACAGTTTGTTGACTGAATGCTTTACCTACTTAATCACCACTCAGATTCTTAGTATGCTAAATTTTTGGCATACTTTGCTCATTTATTAATAAGATATTCGAAATAGCTCTGACCTTATAAAGTCAATTATAATATAACTCACAGAGTTAATAATTCACTCTAAATGGATTAATTGAATGATTATATTTCAGGCTGTTGACTGACCAGAAGGTTCACTATTTCTTATTTTTGTTGAAATGTAGGTTAAATTTCGTATTTTCGGTTTATTATACCCTTAAGTAACAGGCCCCTTGTCGTAATCCGAAATTGGCAATTTCATGTTATTTCTCACATTTGTTATTTAGAATGATTCCTCATTGATTATCAAAATGCTTTCCTCGGTACTTCATTTCTTTCCGTCTAAATTGATGAATTTGTATACCTAGTGGCAATTGAAAATAAAGTCCTTGTTCGTTTGATGATTGTGGGAAATTAGATTTAATGGAAATATCAACATTTCTAAAAAAAACTTTTGTAATATCTATGTTTAATTCTCATATATCTTTTATTAATAATAAACTTTCACTGGTTATTCTGTTAATTATCAACTTGTTCATCTTCACAATCATATGATAATTGCTTTTGACAAAAAATCCTATGGGAAGATGTGATAAGATAAATGTCAAAAATTAATGACAGATAAACACAGTCGTCTTATTTAATAGTTCCAAATAAATTCAATTGGTTTAGTTTTCAGTGGATATTCGTATGCATCAGAGATAACTGATAATCTTATTACTTGGAAAAACACTTAAGACCTTTTAGAGATGAAATATTTTCTGAATCATAAATTACTGTATTCTTTCTGGAGACCCGAATGAAGGGTTGCCGCTAACATCAAATACACTACCAGTGGTTTTTGTAACATTCTATAATTTCAGGTAGGATATGATACATATGTAAGGATCCACCAACCGGATGTTAAGAAACAGGTTTGTCTATGTGCCTATACATTTACAAAAGTAATTATAAAAAGGCACTGTATCCGACTTATCATGCTAAAGTTTCATCAGTTGACTAGTTTGAATACTAAGAACATAAAACGGTTACTGCCATTTGACGTATGCTTCGTTAAAAATCTGAAATTTATTGTATCCTGACATAGGTGGATGATGATCCTACTTTAAATGTTTGTGGAAATTTCAATATCATCTGGCTGTCAATGGGTCAAATGAACGTCACAATTTTAATCTGACATTTTTGATATGTGTGGTGATCGTCTGAATTTGATAGCAATATATACGCTTTCTATATGTGAGTTTAACCTCTTACTTGAGTAAGAAGACAAGAAATGAATAGGAATCTTTTTTAGCTAACGGAATGAAAACGCTACACAGACTCATAAACACATAGATCTTCCTCGGATATTTGAGCACAGTTCCAGCTCTAGTGATATGTTCAGAAAGTCAAAGATATTCATTTTGGTTTTTAGTGTTAATCACCGGAAAATAGTGGTAGCGCAGTTTAATTCACCAACAATCGAGAGGTGGCTTAGTGTTTAAAACATTGTGATTTAAGCCTGTACCTAAAGGATTCGAACCCAAGATTTCCCTACCCCAGACGGGTGTGTCACAAATGTGTGGCATAAGGCTGAGTAGATCAACCTATATTTGTAAACGAGTTGTAATACATTTAGTTGGGTAGCATTAAGTGTCTACAGTAAAAGTATAAAGCACTTTTGGTGATATTTTATTAAGCTAATTAAAATAGTTGTTGCATACAATCAGATATTCCAATGATTATGTACTTGGTGTGTTCAGGTATAGATATGAATTGGGAGTATTTAAATAATTATCTAGTAGAGATTCCCAAAGCATTATAATGGCAATAAAGCAGTTCTCTATAGATTAACCAAGTGATTTACCTCTATTTGAAAATGCAAGATTGTGTTGAAAACACTGGGGACTGATTAAACTGGATATAGGCATCATTAAATTTGAAGTATGTATATCTTAGGTACTAAGAGGTTTATAAAAAAATACGAAGGGCTTTTTACAACTTATTAGAATGTTGTAATACATGAATAGGGGAGAGAGGTGTTATATCTCTGTAGTATATGTTAATATTTCTGTTGAACAACGACTCTCGTAGGGGTATTCTCAAATAACTTTCAGAAAACCTGCAGATGACCTAAAGTTGTCTATTTCTGCTAATTTCTTTACATCATCAACTCTTTTACATGCAAGTGATGTTAAGAAATAAAGTGAAATCAAACGGGAAGATTACTAAGAAGTAAATGAAAAGTTTGATTTCCGGTTTACTCCATTTTTCTTGACTTAAAAAATATTAATTTAATAGGATACTGGATTTGACAAATATCAAATAACAGCTATATTTCGTTTATAACTAGTAATTTGATATTTGATACGTTCGATCTTTCATTAATTATCCTGAAGTAGTTTTACCCTCTGATTAATATCGTGTTATTCATAATTCTATCAGCCACTGGACTAAAAGTATTTGTTCCTGAGGTCGAAGCGTTAGTAATGAGGCACTAT